TGGACATTAGATCAAGGGCAAACACAACAAGGGGATTGGACTATGAGCACATGATAAAGCAAGAGCACACAGGAGGGGTGAGGATAGGTAGACACCTAAAAAATTAAGCTAGCATTTTGTTTGCCCTTAATGCAGAGAAACTAAAGCAGTTACCTTAAAAGCAACTGAGGCCAATAGGAAAAGGGGACCAGGAACTAGAGAAAAGTTTATATCAAAAAGAATTAACCTAGAAGGTAACACACACACACACACAGGAAATTAATGTGCGTCAACTCCCTGCATAGCTATCCTTATCTCAACTAGTAAAAACCCTTGTTCCTTCCTATTATTGCTTATACTCTCTCTACAACAAAATTAGAAATAAGGGCAAAATAGTTTCTGCTGGGTATTGAGGGGGTGGGGCGGAGAGGGAGGGGGTGGAGTGGGTAGTAAGGGAGAGAGTGGCGGTAGCGGGGAGAAATGACCCAAGCATTGTATGCACATATGAATAATAAAACAATAAAAAAAAGGAGAAAAAAAAAGAAATGCACATTGTTTCATTATTATTTCAGAAGTCTGGAATTCAACATAGTTTTCTAATATAAATTCCTGCTGTAATTTAAATTATGTTTGTCCAAGAATAATTGACAGTCTAACATCAAAATTAATTTGTCTGATTACTATTATATGTCACAATAATATCATAACATTGTTAAAAACAGAAGATTGCAACATTCTGGCTTAGTCATCAATATTCTAGATCAGTGCAGATAGTCTGCACACAGCTGTGGTTTCTGTGAGTCTATGAAGCCTGTTTTGTCTTGCCATGAATTCACAGCTATTTTTACTTGTCACTCTCACCTATTAAGCTACTGGTAACTCATATTTTATTAACTTCCAACAAATAAACATGATTTACAAGCAAACTTAAAATTTATACGTACATGAAGTTAATTTGAGAGAAAAACCAACTAATCTACTTTATCTGATCTACTGCTTTCTCTGTTTTGAAATATTAAAGAATTAATTAACTATTGAACTCAGTTTTAGATGCTTGACCTGAAATCACAATTAAAACATATTGAGAATAAAAAGTATATAGCCTGGAAATCAATGATATCAAATTCTGAGCACACATTGTACTTTTTCAAAGTTCAAAAACAAACCCTATTGAATAGATAACAGGATGTAATATTTATGACAAAGACTGACCTTTACCCAGACCTCAGAAGGATTATTCAGAAGGCCAAGTCACTTAGCAAAATTAATTGTTTGGATCACTTTTTAATATCCAGTTTCCTAAGCAGTCTCCATATTTCATGGTCCTATGTAAATCTGCTTTCAGTAGTAAACTACCTGTCTTTTTCTTGTTCAGTTTGCTGAGTAACACTAGGGAACAGAGTCATAACACCTTGCCAAAATCTCTCAGATGAGAAAGTTTGAATCACAAATTAGAAAATTTTCCTCCTTACCACACAGCATAAAGTGGTAGAATAGTGAGCTATTTCCAACATTAAGTGAGCCTGAGTGGCTACTAAACTCACACAAATTGTGGATGATGTGGGAATATTCCTAACAGGAGCAGTGGATTAAGTTATTCACTTATTATCACAAGTTTGAAGCCAACAAATGACCTGGATTGAGGAAATAGACTGATAGCTCAAGGGATAAAAAGTTTCTAAGAAACCAACTACAGAAGCAGAGGGAAACTAAAGTTCTATCAAGAAATCTTAAAATCGTTGAGAAGTCCATTCTTTCCTTTCTGTTTGTGAAGGTCTAAGACAAAATGATTTAATGGGTAATATCAGCTGGGACTATTGGACCTAGATTTCAGATCACCTCTCATTGGTGAAGCTCATGGCATTTAAAATAACATTTGTAAAATATATATCACATAAGAATGGGAACTTAATTGCAAGCTTTTTTCGGATAAGTACATTTTGCATGCTAGGAGAGATGGTTAGTGAGACAGAATAGTCATAATTCAATGTTTGTCTTTCATATATTTCCCTTTAGGGTTGGTGATATTGACCATGACAGGGTACTTGTGGGTATTTATTTATTTGTTTATTTTTTAAGGGTAGAAAGTTCTTAACATTTTTTTTCTTTCTTTTATTTTGTCACTTTTACATTTATTTACATGTGTATACACTTTTGGGGGGCCACCTCCCCACTCCCACCCCCACTCCCGCTTCTGGGCAGAATCTGATCCATCTCTCATTTTTCAATTTTGTTGATGAGAAAACAGAGGAGATAATAAGAAAGACATAGTGTTTTTGCTAGTTTAAGATAAAGATAGCTATACAGAGAAATTCCTAGCATTGCTTCCATTCCAAGCACTTGGTTAGTGCACTTTACTACTTCCTAGGCCCCTTCCCATAGTGACCTCTGGCAGTTTAAGATTACTATGTTCACTCCTACTTATAGGTATTTAAAAGGAGGGAAAAAATGAAGAGAGGAAAGGAAGAATGGGGGAGACACAAAGGGGAGAGAAAGAGTTCGAGATTTTGTGATAAGAAGGGAGATGACTGAGATAAAGAAGGGAGTAACTAAGGAGTAACTTCCACAGGTTGAAGTCTTAGGTCTTGAGCAATTGTTTTTATCTTTTAGTTCATACATACAATAAACAGATATAAGATCTGTTCAACTTTGATGCTTGAATGAAGCATCAAAAGGAAGAGAGAATAAGTAAAACCTTCCTTAAATTACTAAAATTGACCAAATAATTTCTCTACAATTATTCTCTTACGTGTTCTTTCTCAAACATATTTCCAAACAAGACATATTACCAACAAGCACATACTTCTGTCTCTGTGCCTGGTATTTCCTTATTTTACATCCTCTGCTTTCCCTTCACCTTTTTTACTCCTCTGATTTCCCTGTGCAGTCCTGTACAGAGTTTAACCTTTATGTAAAATTTGAACTCATCAAGTGTCACTAATTATTTCCGATCAGGATAATATTCTTCATATTTCACAAAATGCCTTATTGAGTTCACATTTAAGTTTTCATATAACTAGCCAAAGGTAAAAGTACTGAATAAAGCCTATGGTCTCTAACCTCTGATCTAAGCTCTCACTCAGTACCTTCAGAGTTTTAGTAGAGCTTTGTGATATATTAAAGTTTTTGGCAGTTTGTCACTGATAGATATATAAAAGAATGCTTTATTAGGCTATGATTCCTTACAAACTTCACATTCTATATCTAAATTTAGAGATTTGGATATAGCCTAAATTTGGACAATCTGTAGATTTTTTAAGGACATCTGTGGTAGCTTAAAATAAAGAACAGTGAGAACATATTTTGTCCAGGGTAGGCTGAGATACAACTAAAAAGAAAATGTCACTTTTCTCACATTAAAATATAGCCATGTAATCATTTTTGTAAAATTCTTTTTGTGCTAACAATAATCCATTGAATTTTCAAACAGTTTAATTAGATCCTAAATGATGAATATCAATTATAAACTCATACTGATTCATGCTATTTGAATCTAAGGCAGTGACAGTTAATTGAATTTTGTTTTTATGTCTATGTTCACATTTAATTTGATGAAAACTGGCAAATGGCCTACATTAAGCTTAAAAAAATTTAATGGATAATGCTAATTTTCAGAATGATTTGTAAAATAATTTTATAATGTAAAATATACAACTTTTAACTTGATAGTAATTATTCATAATTCTTTGTCAGTGACATTGGTGAAACTTTACCTGATACTTTCAACGTTACGGACTATAGTTTTATAATAATTTCACTTCTTGACTAATCAATCACCCTCTTCACTGTGAAACAGAGGGAGTCAGTTTTGCTAGTCTCACAAGATTTTTTTCATTACATTACATTTTCACTCATTAGTATTTCTCAATGCTTTAAATCCCAACAAATTATGGATAAACATAAATTTCTAACTTTCTCTTCCCTAAAATTTCTTCAGTGCTTTCTGCAGGAAAACATGCCTTTCACCCATAAAAGTAGATTATTCTTGCTCTTTTACTTGGTAGAAATGTGCAACTCTATTCTTTGTCACTTTCATGAATAATTATTAATTTTAATGAGCAAAATAATGAACACAATTTATAAAAAAATACTTTGTTCAAGACAAGCTTCCTAGTGCTGATGGGCTGTAATGAAATTTAGCAATATTAAATATTTTTGATATTGTAATTTTTTAACTAGAAAGTTTTCCAGGTTGACCAGTCTTGTCTTAGATTAGAATTTTAGGTTTTACTCACACCAAGACAATAGGAGCAGTCTTGCATACATCAGAATTCTGGGTCAACTTTTTTATATGAAAGATACAAGTAAAAAGCAAAGCTATCCTAACCATTCAGAAAACCACTAGAATTTATAATTCTAAAATTATCTGATTTCAGGAAAAGTGAGTATACAGTAAGAATTCTAAATTTATTTAGAGTAACAAAATAAAGAACATTAAAAACATAACAAAAAATATAAAGCACCATGAAATAGATACAAGAAGGTTCAACAATTACAAAGTTAATGGATGCTTCTTAGGGAAAATTATCATTGGGATTACAAAAAAAAATAAGTTATTTTCTTATTTCTGAAAAAAATCACTGAATAGATTATCTAAAGCAACAACTTATTTGAAATTAAATTCCTCTATAATTCAATCCTAAACTCTTGTTCTCTACAATATTAGGAAACAGATATTAAAATTTGATGATATTCACATCCAGACTGTTGAAGTTATCTTTCTAAATAATATCATTTCAACATCATCATAGTTTAGCAGTCCCAAATAGCTTCTCAGTATTTTCTTATGATTATACTTTTGCAAATGTTCTACTTAATGGTAATCAAATTTTAGATAAAACTGGACAATCAAAGCATAGATTAGTTTGACCTCTGATTCTCAACTAAGTGTACTGATTGAAAGAGAATGTTTTCAGACATATCACCACTTCACGAAACCCTAGACACCTATTTATTCAAAACACAGAAATGTAAACAACCTACACATCTTTTACAAAAGATGCAATACTAGACTGACTTACATGGTAAAAACATCCAGTGTATCACCAGCAGTTCTTGCCATCTCAAAGTAGGTTTGTAGAATGTTGACAGTTCCAGAAAGTGCTTCATGACCACAGCCACAGAACAGGGCAACACCCGCATAGAGCAGGATGGTGGCAATCAGAGAGGCATAGGGAATACCTCCCAGGCATTTAATGCAGCATTCAAAACAGCCTGTGGAAGATCAACAGGAAAAAAAGTGAAAATTTCATATTGTTTGTTCATCTAAATTGGAAATATTTTTTTCAACTTCAGCACTATGGAAATAATATTTGCATTGGTAGATAACATCAGGTCAACTACATAAATCAAGTCCTAGGGTGCCCTGGAAGGTGTAACAACCAAGTCCCGTATTATAACCTATCCTCCAGAGACAGGAGAACGTTAATTATGGCTAATATTTCCTCTTTTTCCCCAAATCCACAGAATCCCTTCTTTCTAAGACTTCCCATGAAAATCTTACCACACATGCATGTACATCCTCTGTCTTGAATATAGAGCTCTCAAATTTCACCAAGCTTACTTATGTTTTTATTTCAATGAAATCAATTCTTTTGAATTCCTTGTGGCTGTATGTTTAAAGCTGTGATGATTTAAAACCTTTTAATGCCTTATGAACTTCACTACTGAATTTTGAACAACAAACTTAAAAACTGGAGAAGAATGTGTGTTCTCTCTGTAGTGACTCACAATGCAAACTCTCGTTATTGCTATGGTTCATAATAAAAATAAATGAGAAAGATATTGATAGTAGAAAACAGACAGCAAGCAGGGCAGAAGCCTGATCTTATCCCTGTGTGTTTTTTAACAGATGTATTCTTTTGAACTTATCACCTGTAAAAGGGTGAAGATAAGAGAATTAAACTCATAATGGTTCTTCTGAGGACTAAATGAGCTAACGTATAAAATAGTGCCCAACATAGAATAACTCCTTGATAAATGTTAGTGAAGACTGCTAGACATAATCTTAAGTATTTTGATATTAACCAGTATTGTACTATGACGTGGTTGTCAAAAATTCTTTGACCATAGTAGTCATTTTTTGAAGTTTCATCAGTTAATTATCTATTGAAAGACAGCTTTTAGCATGTAGCCTGAGACATCAGAAAACTGTAGCTTTTAATGTTCAAGATAAGTGTCAAAATTTTCTAGGTGACTTCTAGACAAGAGAATTGACAGGCCAAACATGTCTCCAAAGATGACCCCAGTTTTGTATATACTCTTTCTGGTTTCTCCCTTCCCCAACACATATCCTTACTCCAAAGCTTTCCTCCAACTTTTGCCTCTTTTGGAAATTTTTTGATCAAATTCCATTTGGAGTCTGAGCCCCTCATTATGTAACTAATGACTTTTCCTTTTTTCTTCAGAAATGAATTACAAATGAAATTAAGAGTGGATTGTGTAGTCATGGTAAGATCTGTATGTACTTTACCTAGAAGGTTTACATGTTCAAATATCCCTAACTCAAAATACTTGGGACTCAAAGTGCTTTGGATTTAATATTTTGGGGAGAATTTTGGAATATTTCCACATGCAAAGATATTTCTTAAGAATGGAACTGGACTTAAACATATAATTTATTTATGTTTCACATGCATTGAATGTAGCTAGCCTATATTATAAAGTATTTTTAATATGCCTGCGTTCTAACTGTTACCCATAACATAAGATAAGAGATGAGATTTTCCATTTGCAACATCATATTATATTAGGGCTCAAAATTTTCAGAGTTCAAAGTATTTCAGATTTGGAATTTCAGACTTTTATTTACAGATCCTTAACCTATATGTATAAAGCAACATATGAGGGAAGAGATAATGGCAAAACTCCTATATGAAGTGATTTTATGTTCAGAGATTAAGCTAGAATGCTACTTTGATATTCCTCATTAAACCAGCTTCTTGGGAATTAACACCAATCTCATTTGCCCCAGTCAAAGTTATAAAAAGGAGTCTGAACACCTCCCCAACTTCAAAGTTGTTGCTTGTACAAGCAAAGTTACATCCTGCACATTCCTTCCTGAGACACACACACACACACACAATGTGAGGAAGTAGAAAAGGTTAGAACAGCTTGAAACTTCATATAGTAGGAAAGAATGTCACCAGCAGATGGTTGAGACCAGTACGTGTAGTATATGAATGTCATGAACACAGTTCTGAGTAGAGATTAACAGGGTGACAGAAAATCTTTGGACTATTCTCTTTCAATGTTCTAAAATTTCTGTCTCAGTAATTACTTAAAAATAAAGAGAGAAAAGGAAGCAAAATCAGTACTAAACCAAAGAACTCCCTCAAATTTGGTAAGTGCACCAAATAACCCCTTAATTTCAAATTCCATTCTTCTATGATTTACCTCCTTTGCTATTCTCAAAACATCTGATATGATTGTGAGAGATTTCTATGCAGACAACTGGAGATTTTAAGAGCAGATGAACAATGTTTAACAAAACCTCAGATCAGAGAAGTGCATAAAAGAGTGTAAACACCAAATGCATAGGTAGAAATAATCTTTGCTGTATCTTAGAGCCTAAAGTTTACAACTGAGTAATGAAATCTGAATCAGAATAGCTCAGGAGTAGATATAAGGCTAAACATGTGAATGGTTATCCAAACTGCCACTGCAGACTTCTGGTTAATTTGACTCCTAATTTAGAGCCAGTTTGTACTTATTTCATGTGTTTTTTTTTTCCCCCATTGCAATATTGGTCTCTATGCTGGGCTCCATATCTACATGGGGGATAATGAAGTCACGGCAATAGAATATTAGTCACAAGTTTGACTGAATAGTAACTCTCAAATTTACAACAGTATGAGATAAATTCCAATATTGGAGTAAACTAAAATTGACAACTCTGAGTTAATATGCATTTCCAAATAAGCATAAGGTCTCCGGATGAAATGTAAATATTTCTTTTACTCCCTATTTAAACCGTGCCATTTAAATTCTTCAAATTCTTCTAAGAGGCTATTATTGGGACATCAAACTAGAAAATTTCAATTCAAGACTTGATCCTCTGCAAAACTTTTATTCAAAGAAAAATCTTTATCTCATCAGGCACATATTGCACTGGTAATAGACTTCATCTTAATCAACCCCATTTTTCCTATGAGCCTGAGTTGAGTTGCCTATTAGATTTAAAAGAAGACTCTGAACTCCCATATGGAGACACAGCACATCATTTCAGTATTCTCTCCAGCTGCCAGAATCCCACATAGTTGCTGGCAGGGGAGCTTCTTTCCACCCACACTGAGAAACAGCCTTGGCAGAGCAGCAGAATCACCATAGCAACCATGCCCTTGGGCCAGGAAGCACTCCCAACAATCACTCTTTAAGGTCCAGATTCTGCTGTATCCCATCATCATGTTTTTACTGAAGGGAAAGTGAAAAAACACTCTTACTAAATGAACATTAATGGAGTTCAAGGAACGCAGTGCTAGCATTGGAGAAAATACCTCTCTTGAGAAGATCTCTAAAAAAGCAATGAAGATCATTTTGTGTGGGAAAATGTTTCAATACTAAATACTATGAGAATAGAGTCTTTAATTCTCAAATAAAGCTGAGGTTCAAATATTGATGCAGAATTTGTACACTACATACACAAAGAAGCAATTCTTATATCCAATTTCTGGTTATATGTCTTAAGTGAAATAACACTTTGCTTTCAGCTTTAAGAACAAATATTTAACCAATTGTGAGACATTTCCTTTCACTATACTCTGAAATGTTAACATTTGCCCAATATTTAGTGAATTGACTTGTAGTAATATGAAAATTTCAAGTAAAATAGAAGCAAGTAAAATATGCTACATTTTAAAAGATATATGATTACCTTTGTTTAAGATAATTAAGTTGCCTCTACCCAAATATTGTAAAGCAAACACAAACCTTTGCCTTTGATCAACTCTCAAATCCTATCAAAATAAAAACAGTGAAAAGAACCTAAATCTAGACAAAAAAAAAAAATAGAAGACCACTCAGAGACCAACACAGTTGTGGATTCTAGAAAATAAATTGAAAAGTGAGATTGACAAGTGCAATTGACAAGAGACTAACAATTTTTATTTATAAATTTTTTCTGGTACTACTTATAATGGAGTTGATTGTTTCTCTATTGATGAATGTCACCTTTTCATTATCAAATTTCCAGAGAGGTATGTGTCTGTGGACCATCTATTGTGTTCCATTAGTTTATTAATCTACCCATGTGCCAATACCACCTTCCATTATATCATATCATATATAATATTTTGATTTAAGATAGAGGAAAACTCCTAACCTTTTCATTTTCCTCATTTATGTCATGGCTATTCATTGTTCACTTTCTTCACCACATAAACCTTAGAAACAATTTGTCCAATTGCAAAGTTAACTCACTGGGATTCTGATTGGGATTTTTTTATTCTGATTTAAAGTTTTTTATTATTGTTGTGATGGGGATACATTGTGACATTTACAAAAGTTCTTATAAATTTTTTTGATTCAGTTAATTATTTCAAGTTTGTGAATTACTTTGTACTTGTGCTGATAATCATCCTATCTGTGAAAATTTTGATCTTACATTTATTTCAATATTTGTACCTTTTTATTTACCATCTTTTTATCCTATTCTTAGGCAAAATACAGTGAGAAGTAACAAGAAAGGGTATCTTATCATTTTCCTGATTATAAAGAAAACATTTACCATGTTTTGCCATTAACTTGATGCTGCTTTATTGCTTGGTGCCAGTTGTGGTGGCCTACACTTTTAATTATAGCACTTGAGAGGCAGAAGCAGGAAGGTTGTGAGTTTAGAGACAGGCTACATAGCAAGACCCTATCTCACCTCCCCCCCCACATTGACTCAAAAAGTTCCTTTTGTCATGAATTCTATTAACATGTTTTATATCATCTGGTGAAATAATTCATAGTGGTACAATTTTATTCTTCATATCTGTCATTTCAATAAAAATTTCCAAGTCAAACTTGCATTCCTGAAAAAACAAGTCATGTTGTATTTTTAATATATTACTGATTTGTCATGTTAACATTTTATCCAACATTTGTCATTTATTAATTAACTCACCATATAACTATTGAGGCATAAGTGTCAGTCACTATGCTCTTTGCTGGAGCTGTTGTAAAGGTGGGAGACAGATAATAAGATGCTAAAATAAATTGTGTGAGATAATGAA